TGGGGACAAGGGCCCTGTTGCAGATTGGTCACACTCAAGCATGTATTTTAAGCATCTTTAGGACTGTCAAGCAGAAGATCATTCCATAACTTCCATAAAGCGTGACTCTATTCATCTATTTATCCTACTCTACATGGACACCAGACCCATATGTCCTTGTTGAACATTTCATTTCAAAATCAAATCCATTAGTCCTTCCCTTTATCACTATAACAGCTTCCACTCTTCTGAAAAGGCTTTCCAGATCCTTTTCAGATCTGGGCTTTGCACAGGCCAGTCAAGGTCTTCCACAATAAATCATTTCTATGTGAATCTCGCTTTGTGCACAGGGGTATTGCCCAGACGGAACAGAAAAGGGACCTTTTCAAATTGTTGCCAGGACAAAAGAGTCATAAGCATAGAGACAATTGGCGCCAATGGTTTCTAGAATCTACTTAGACTTACACATATTAATGCAATTCCCTCATGCAAAGGCTCAACCTCTTGTGCCATGAGCACATTTTTATTTTCTAAATGAAGATTATTAAAAGGATGAAAATCTTTAAATTCCCTTTTTTTAAATTCTTGATTTTGTTTAAGGGATCTAAAGGAAGGTTTTCATGCTTGATAAAATGCTTGTTGTAACACCTCTCTTCTGTTAGTAACGCTCTGGGTTGCGTTTCTCAAAAGCACCAATAGAGTGCCGAAGTGATGATGTCACTTTGTAGGACAACTCGGAAGATAGCGGCGCATGGGTTCCCTCGATCGAAAAGCAATCCATTTTCCCCATAGACTTTTGGAAAATCGCAGAAAATAAGATCTGTGTTTAACAAAGAGTTGTGACCCTTACACGTTTTGTCGATCAAGATAATCTTTACAACTTAATCCAAAATTGATACATTTTGAAGCCTATAACAAGATATTAAAAAACACAAGCAGACACAATAAAGTTTAAAAAACCACAAGCAGGTTATAACTGTGTGTTCTATGTGATAGATCAAAACGTGAACATATTTAGAGGTTTTGTTCACCACAGACCTTATTTCAGGCTATTTAGCAAAAACCCATTCAAAAATCCCATAGACTTTAGAGCGAGGGAACCAGGAGTGCTAAAATGCTAACTCACTTCCACGTTTTGGCCTACAGAGTGACGTCGTAACTTCGGCACTATATGTACCTACAATGAGCTAATTTCACTATGCTTTTGAGAAACACAGCTCTGTTTAGTTCCTGTCTCTATGAAGCCATTTCTTTTGAAAAGGGCAATGTGCTCTGATTGGTTCAGATGGACCAATGAGTGTTGTGATTGGTCACTTGCTAGGGAAATGTCCCACTCTTACCATAACTGTGAGTTTCAACCAGTTTTATACAGTCTATTGTTTCAACACACTACGAAGGAAACTCAGTTAGGCATTCAATCATTCCCTCCAAAGGAATGTGCTAAATAAAGGGGCGGGCCCTTTATTTTGCACATTGGAATGATTTAAATGAGGAAAATTGTGATGCAGAGCAGAACCATAGATATTGAGGGGGACCAGTCTCCACCAATAATTAGAAATAGCCCCCATATGACACTATTTAAAAAGACGAATTTCATAGAAACGGTTTGTTTGAACCGTTCACGTTTTTTTTTTTTTTTTTTTTTTTTTTTACTAGTTTCAGCCCGACGCTGTTATCATTTTCATGTCCTGCACTATGCTAATTAAATAGGAAAAATGTCAGATAATTTGATTTGTAATGTGGTTCTCCTTTATTTGTGGACACTTATATTTGTCATTGACCCTGCCACAAATTTGAAAGCATAGAATTGAATGTTAACATTTGTTAATAGGAATTACTGGAATATCCAAATTCATTCATTTCAAGGGGTGTTCACATACTTTTGGCCATATCTGTATGTTCATAATGCTTGTTTGGAAAACCAGCCAAATTGGCGTCGATCCTTTATTTATTGCCAAATGGTTTATTAAGATTGTTCTAGGATTATGGTATATTATTACATGAGTGAATTCATTGTACCCAAGTCCAAGTTTTCAACATTGCACCCTTTTTTATATGTGAGTTATAATAGGAGCTCAAATACTCCGTATCAATATAATATAAACACAAAATAAGACACCATATGCGAGATCTGATCAGTTTATTATTACACAGTAAAAGACACATAGTTGACGTATTTGTATCTTTTTTTGACCTCTCAGCACAGAAAGAAACCCCACACATACACAGGTATATATGTATATGGGTTCAGTATAAAGTGCAAATCAATCACAAATTTCCATCTGGTGTAACATTAGGGAAAGAAAAATGAATTGAATAGAATGCCTTGCAAAACAATCTTTTCCTATTTTGGTTTCATACTGCATTTTAAAAGGAAAAACAAAACAAAACATAAAACAAACATTGAATCTTAAGAGTTGAACATAAACAGGAATATGAGTGATATAAGTGGATTCAAGTTTTGAGAGGAGAGAGTACCATACAGTTTAGTGGCTTGTGTAGCCTATAGTCCTGGATCAAAGAGGAGAAATCACCAGTTCTTGGTGAATCAGAAACAATGAAGGACCTGTTTAAACACATCACTTCTATTGCAGTGCATCCTGATCTCTCTGGTTATGACGTAAAATGACCGTATTAACTAACCTGAAACATATCCGGGACAATTCGATCACACAGAACGTCGATTTCCAATCATCCCCGCTCACATCTAAAGTATTTCTATATTGCGCAGGTTCAGTTCTCAAGTCTTGAAGTCTAGATGATTCCTTGAGGCAGTGGTTATATAAACTTTAAATTTGGCAACAAGAAGGGTCAGTCTCCAAGCTCTGCTAATCCACCATAAATCGCGATAAGGACACAATGCTGTTCAAGTTCAAATGACCAGAGGGCTGCACTAAACTTTCAGCGCCGTGGCACCCCTTTGCACCAAATACAGACATTTGATAAAATATACATTCTCTGAAGTTGTACAAAATCCATCAGAACTTTGAAAATTCTCTGAATCACAATGGCGAGCGACACGACAGAGGCTTCGAATGAGAAAAAAGCCTTACACCCACAGCAGTCGAACAAATGCAATGTAATAATTTAACGAAAAAAACACACATTTACACGGACATTTCCCTTTGATTCATTAACGGAAGAAATGAACAAGAGTGGCCGAACCTTTCCGAGCAGCGTTGCCGTAAATCGAACTTTAATGCAGAAATTTCACAAGCGTATTTTTAAAGATGATACATGAGATGTCTTTGAGGCGAACGTCTGCACTCGCTGCTGTTTCTCTGGAGATGGTGTGGACACCTTGTTGCTGAGATACCAGAACTGCGGTTGAAAATGGTAATGCATAATTGAGTCACTGGTCATGCTCATCATGATTCGCACACAACGTCGATGAAAAACAGCTTTTGGTTGGAAATCAGTTTAGCAGCTTTGCTTGGTACAGGTGTTTAATAGATTGCGATATTATCATAGCATATTTCCCCAAAGAAAGAAATCCTCACTTATATGCCACTACATCCCTGCCTGTTCAACAAGAATACAGCAGCTATTCTGGTGTGTTTGAGCAGAATCTGATTATGCTTCAATGCCCTTTAATAGTGGTCCTAACAGAAAGTGCATATATTATTATAACCACACACACACACACACGCACGTACGTACGCACACCCACACCCACACCCACTTAAAGGATTAGTTCACTTTTGAAAAAACTTTTGCTGATAATTTACTCACCCCCATGTCATCCAAGATGTCCATGTCTTTCTTTCCTCAGTCGAAAAGAAATTTAGGTTTTTGATGAAAACATTCCAGGATTTCTCTCCATATAATGGACTTCAATGGGAACCGGATGGTTCAAGGTCCAAAGATAGTGTTAATAACAGTTTCAGATGCAGCTTCAAATGTCTTTAAACGACACCAGACGATGAATAAGGGTCTTATCATGCGAAACGATCGGTTATTTCAAAGCTTATTCCAAAAATGTAACTTTTCTAAGGACAAATGCTAGCCTTGCTATATTCTCTGAGGCGCGTTTGTAACGTCACGTAATACGTAATTACGTTCAAAAGGTCACGGGTGACGTAGCCGGAAGTACAGAATCAAAATCGTCCGACATCGTTGTTTTTCCTTTTAATTCCTTTTTTTGTAAACGGTGTTTGAGCTAGTTTGCACGTTCAACCTATGCGTTCAACTTGTAAACACTGACTCTGTACTTTCGGCTACGTCGCCCGTGACCTTTTGAACGTAATTACGTAATACGTGACGTTGCAAACGCGCCTCACAGAATAGAGCAAGGCTAGCATTTGTCCTTAGAAAAGTTACATTTTTGGAATAAGTTTTGAAATAACGATCGTTTCGCATGATAAGACCCTTATTCATCGTCTGATATCGTTTAAAGACATTTGAAGCTGCATCTGAAACTGTTATTAACTGTCTTTTGGACCTTGAACCATCCGGTTCCCATTGAAGTCCATTATATGGAGAAAAATCCTGGAATGTTTTCATCAAAAACCTAAATTTCTTTTCGACTGAGGAAAGAAAGACATGGACATCTTGGATGACATGGGGGTGAGTAAATTATCAGCAAAAGTTTTTTCAAAAGTGAACTAATCCTTTAACCATTTTGGCCAGAAAAGGGGAAGTCAAATAAAGAAATCAGAAAAACTAACAAAAGGATTACGGGGGGGATCTGATTTCATAAGGGTGAAGAAAAAAAAAAAGCTACTGTTTAAGTCTCAAAACTTAAAGGCCCCCTTTTCTGCTTGGGGCTCGATAGCATGGGTTTTAGTTTGAAACCTTTCTAGCGATTATTGCATAGTTTGGTGAATTACTTTTAGGTTTGTAGATCATTTGGTTTAAGAAAAAAACAGTCATTCTGCCCCTCCGGTTCTTCTCTCTCATTACTCTTTGGGTCCAATTCAATCAAACTGCTGTTTTATCACCACGGTACCAATATGGCGCCAGCGTCAGTTCACCATAAAACAAGCCGGTTAATGGCCAGGCTGTGTTTTTCAAAAGAATTAAGGGATGCGGATTGGTCATTTTAACGGTTGAAACGCTCAGTGGTGAGATGGCTTCTTTGCTTTGGACGGGACCGTCGAAAAGTGGTTTTGCGGTAGTTTGATTGGATTTGGCCCTCGCTCCTCAGTCATTCCTAAGCCAAACGCTGCCCTCCAGTCCTTGCAAATCTGAACTTTCCCAAGAAGCACTTACAAGACACTCACCCAGGCCTTTCCGAAACGTCGTATATTGCATAGCTCGGGAAAACACTTTGCCCCAAACGAACCGTACGATGGCTGAACCGAATCGCCCTCCGGCGCTATGAAATACTGGATGTCAGTTACTCCGTTAAAGCTAATATATATATATATATATATACTCTATGTAGCTGATTAACCCTGAAAGTATACACAGCATGTGGCAATGCTCAATAAACTTTTGACAAAGTTTGTATTATAGTGGTCCCATATAACATTCGCCTGACTCATATGACCAGCGTGTTCCCCCATGACCAGCACAGAGTCATTACATGGGTCTTGTACAGTCAACTCAGAATGACTAAATAAAGCGATCGATTAAATAAGCACAATATCTGTAAACCGATGCTTGCCGAATGAACTAATATTGCCCACAGAAACGTAATAAAATAAACATTTAAATAATATAGTAAGAAAATAAATATCAATAAGTCAGTTAAATAGACTTTTTTTTTCTTTTCGTTTCGTTTGTCGTCTGAACTCACTTCTGCGTGTCATATTCACCAGGGAGAAATTTGTTCATCTGTCCAAATAAGTTGGCCAAAATATGTGTTTAGACGTAGCGCTAACAGGGCTTCGAACTGAATTTCCTCTTCCTGAAGTGTACTACTTGAACAGATCACAAGTAGAGAGACGATCTAAGGGTCGAGAAAATGTGGGAAAAAGCGAAAGAAACGAAGCCGAAGGAATGCCTTCCCGTGCACGCCTCATGACTCGGTTTATAAATAACGACTGGTCGTCCAGTGTGACATCTACTGTAGCTGTACTCGATGCTTTATGATTTACGGCGTTTGAAGTGAACTTCCGTTTTTTGGTATTTTAATGAATTCCTGCACATAGATCTTTAAAGATAGCTCTCGCCAAATGGGAGAGTTTCACAAAAAGGCTAGTGGCAATTTGAGATTAACTTAGCTAAAGTAGTAGTAGTAAAATATCTGTTAATAAATAAATAGTACACTCTTATTTCTATAACACATGCCAACTATTTCACATCAACGCTAGATTCAGTTTATATACAGATACATTTTCGTTGCTGTAATCTCTGTAAGATATATTTCATGTACAAATGGCTATTTATCGTTTTTTCTTCTTCTTTCGTTTCTCGAGATATTTTCACGGAAATAAGTCTAAGAGCTCTCTACTTAATGGCCTGGATGACTCCCGCTAGATTTCACGACGACACGCGGATCGGTCTGTAAACCGGGCCGATTTCCCCTCGCGCAAAACGCTTTTCATCGAACATGAAATGATGAACGTAGAATTTGACATTCGAGATGTTTTCGCACTGGTGCATGCCTTTTTTTTTTCCAGTTGAGAAGGAATGTGTCCCTGTATAGCCTTGGAAAATAAACCACTGTTTTGTCTTGCTTTTTTGTGTGTGTGTGTGTCTGTGTGTGTGTTTTCACTTTGCGTTTGTGTATGTGTGCTCGATGGCTAAGTTTGGACTGGCAAATTGGTCTGAAGTTAAGAGCTGTCACCAATGTTGCGTTTCTTGCCAAAGAGATTGGAGGCATCTCTGTTGCGTAGATTTGGCTGGTGCTTGTATTCATGGGGACTGACAGACCACCGCCACCCACCACGAGTCTCCATTCCAGTAGGAACTGCAGCAGACGGACACGGCTTGTTCTGCAGAAGCTGGAAGAGCATGGTGATCTCGGGCCCTAATCGGGTCAACAGATTTGCCCTCACCAGGTCCACTGTCTCATCGTCACACTCCATCAGACTCTGCAGTAGTTTCCCATAAAACCTGCGGCGAGACAGAGAAAACTCACACTGAGCCGGGTGCGTCAACACATTTGATGGTAGAAGGCTGCGTAACGCAGGGAATCTGAAACGAAAGAATGTGCTAAAATCGTTTTCAAATGAAGATAGAAAAAATTCACTGATTTTGTGGCAGCAATCAATCTTTTCAATCAAGCTTGTGACAGATAACGATGAAGGCGTATACTATCTACCTCATTGGACACTTGCAGAGTTTGTACTATATAGTATTAGAATTGGAAAATTGTAGATAAATGTTCATGTTATATAATTTGGTTGCTTGCATATGTAAGTTAATCTGACTGGTTGTGTAAAATAGGCACAATATATTGTGATATCGATCAATATACCCCTGAATCTAAGCAAATCGTAATCGTATAGCGCCCAAGAGAATTGTATCGTGATTCGTGACAAAACACAATACACAAGGAACTCAATTAGGCCTTGGTCAATAATCCTTGTGAACAAACAAGTACACTTGAGCATACTTAAGTGTGTTAATAGTGCACTTTGTACTTAAGTGTGCTAAGATAAGAAACATGCGAGTGTACTCTCTTTAAGTTCACTTAAGTGGCCTTAAGTACAGTTTTTTTTTGGTAACGCTTTACTTGAAGGATTGTGCATAAGACTTACATGACACCTTCATAATCATGACATGACATATGTTATGAATATGAAGAAAGTTTTATGCATTTTTATGACAACTGTGTCATTCGCTCAATTATGACATTTTAATGCAAATATGACATTGTTTGAAATGTCTTTGTTATGACACCTTGACATTACTAAGACAACACAACCTGTCATAAACATGACATAGCAGATTAATGGGGTCACGAAAAATATTCATGACACAGTTATAATGCCTCATGACAGCCAATGTCAAAGCCAACCACATGACAGTTTAACTTCATTTCAGTGTTGTAGTCGAGACCACCTCACTCGAGTCCGAGTTGACACAGAGACCAGAGAGAGTCGAGTACGAGTCAAGACCGAGTCCATAGAGAGTCGAGTCCGAGACCAGAGACGGTCGAGTCCGAGTCGAGACCGAGACCAGTGAGGGTTGATTACCTAATTTACTTTTATTTACTTAGAGAAATCTTTTTTTTAATTTTTTTTTTTTTACTGAATTTACTTAGAGTTTAAAAAATATGATCAGTTTAGGGTAAAAAGGCCACATAGTAGGTGGTGTTAAAAGTAATTTTATTACAATTTGTCATGCGCAGTTGCGCACTAGAAAATCACCAATCACTGGGCATGTCAATCAATTTAAAGAAATATTTTATTAACATACATTAATAATCATGAAAAATATTTTTAATTGAACTCGAGTGGACTCGGGAATAAGTCCGAGTCCTAAAAAAAAAAATGTTCGAGTACGAGTCAATTCCGAGTCCAAATGGACACGAGTCCATGACAAGACCAAGACCATTAAAATATGTGTCAAGTTGTCATGACAAAGACACTGACAGGTTATGATGTATTGGTTTATGTCAAGGTGTCATAACAAAGACATCTTAAACAATGTCATATTTGCATTCAAAATGTAATTATTGAGCGAATGACACTTAACCCGTTTAATCCCACCGGTCACAATTGTGACCGCAGTTTTTTTCTTATTTCTGGAAGCTCTAAAAATGTTGTTATTGACTTTGGGCAAGAAATTCAACTTTTAAATGACAAAATAGATTGTCTTGATTAAAATCAATTAATGTCATGTGACTAGTGTGAAAGGTCACATGACCAGATCAGTTCACTTCCTGCTTGCACATCTAGAAGAAGATTTCTCCCTCAGACTACTAAAATAAGTAGTATATAAAACATCTTAATTTACAGATAGAACTGTCAAATTTTGTACATATATTCTTTAAAGGCTCTACTACTGATATATTTTGAGAGTTATACTCCTGCATTTATATTTTGCTCGTAAGATTTGTAAATTTGTTTACGGTCACAATTGTGACCGGTAGTATAACAGTATAGCAGTGCTTCAATTGAAAACACAGGTATAGGCAGATATTGGCGGGTATTGGCAATCCTACACTGAATATGCCACATCTGTGAGGAGGATGGAGGATCTTGGCAAAGGAAAAGTGCTCACTAACACAGATTTAGACAGATTTGTGAACAATATTTGAGAGAAATAGGCCTTTTGTGTACATAGAAATGGTCTAGATCTTTGAGTTCAGCTCATGAAAAATGGGGGCAAAAACAAGTGTTGCATTTATAATTTTGTTTAGTGCAGTTATCAGTATCCCAGAAACGTTCAATGTGTTGGACCTTCTTGACGTGCATGACCCCCTTCCCCCCACCCCTAACCCCACCCCAAATTGAAAGTTACTGTGATAGTGATGGCTCAGATAGGGAGTCCCAGGGTGAAACGGCCCATTTGCCAGGTAGACTATTGAATGGCGATGCAGAGGTGAACTATCTGGAGGATTGTGCAGATGTTCATGAGAACCAAATGGTGTGCCCCACACATGACCACAAACAACCCTTTCTACAACATTCGGCCCATCTTCAATGCACTGAAAGAGTGCACACCTCTACCTGAAACTGGCCTAGGACAGGGCCCAAGTGTAGACATGGTCTAGCCCATAGTGGTCTAGCTGAACAAGCGGAAGTTCCTCCAGGGTGTAACTTTGTTCATGACAACCTTTTCATCTCACTAAGCCTTCTTCACGAAATGACAAAACGAGATATTGGATGTCTTGTAATGAATTGTGTCAATAGGTCTAATTGAAGAATTTGAATGAATTCTGACTATGTAGTTTCCCACCGGTCACTATTGTGACCGAGTATAAAACCTAATATTTCACTAACTTAACCAACATAAAATCAAAAGAGGCATAAACATGCATAAACCCTACTTCATATTCATGACATCTGTCAGACTTATGCACACCCCTTCAAGTAAACCATTTTTTTTAAATATACTTGTGCACATTCATTACAAATAAAAGTACTTTTGCACAAGGGAATCAACCTTTTCTTCTTCTTCTTGGGAATCATTATTTTATTCCCAAATTTAGCATAACGGTAAGATCAACAATCCTGAAGGCCTGTTCACACCGGGACGAATTTCACGCGCGTTATTAGCCGACGTTTAACGCCTCGTGAATAAACAAAGGGCGCCAATGTGAGTTTTCACACCGACGCGTAAAACGCCACGCATAAAAGCGACATTTTTTTTAAAAAACGCCTCGGGTTAGTTTTTTTTAGTTTGACGCGCCACGTCAAAAGCTATCCGACCAATCAGATTTGTGCTTTTGCTCACGTGTTTGGAGCTTCTGAAGAGACAGTAAAACATAACTTGGGGGCGCTCAAACACAAAACGGTCTTACCGAGCACACATATGCAACGGTGAAGAAGATATACGCGTCGCCGTCTACACAGCCAGGAAGAAATAAGACGAGGAAGATGCAAGACAAGATGAATGTAGAGCTGCTGTTCTCGTTGGTGCTAGAACATAAAGAACTATATGAAAAACGCGACAGGGACTACAAACATCTTGATAAAAGAGAACTGTATGGAGTGGTATTGCAGAGCAAATTGACGCCATCTAATGTCAGGGAATGAATTTGCATGTTCACTCGGATCATCATCAGCGAAAATCGCTTGGGTGTGAACACAAAAAACGCTGACGAATAACGTGCTGATATTCATCCCGGTGTGTACGGGCCTTGAAACCCCTTCTGTGTTTTTGTATATACCATAAGATGGATTCTTTTCGTTCTGCTCAAGAGTCTTACCTGTTGGGAAAGTGGCTGGGTAGCTGAGCCACCTCCGCAATGGCTTCTGGGTTTGATTTGGCCACTTTACAAATGTCCAACTTGCTGTAACACTCCTCTTGAACCTCCGATATCATCCTCTGGAAGGTGGAACACCGTCTGACTGTTAGAAAGATCTTGGAAGTGATGCCATTGGCGATGCACTTCAAGCTTTCTTTCACAAAAGCCTTTCCCTGCAAAATGAACAGGAAGCCAAATGTCAAGCACAGGCCTGAACGGCGACTTCAGTCCATCTCATGAAACTGGAGAGGTTTTAGTTTTAATGAAGTGGAACCTTGGGAAGTAAAACGTAGAAATGATTCTCAAACAAGCCATTCTTTTGAACCAGTTGTTTTTGAGGAATCAGTTCAGAAAGTAACTGAAAGGCTGGGTGAGAAACTAACGCAACATTTAGTGTGGCATTTTCTATATAAGACGAATCAAAAAGAATGCCGTTATAAATCACGCTGAAATAAGAACTTTCGAAAATAATAGCTCCCATCAGGCCTTTCAGAGTCCAGTCCCATCTCTGTGGAATTCAGCAGCATTCATTTGACAGGATTCATCCAATCCAAGTGCTTCTGTTCTTCCTGTCTGCTGAATAGGCGTCTTTGACATCAATAGGATATTGTGTTTCCATCGATGAACTGATATATCGCTATTGTACTTTGCCATGAATTGTATACAAACACATACCTGAGTGTCGAATTTAGCAGCACTGTAGAGAAAGGACTTGCAGATGTCATGCATGCCATCTGTGTCACACGTTGAGTTTTCAAGACAGGCGAAGGCACCGCAGCCCACCTGGAGTGCACTGTTCAGGCAGCGTGCCACATCCGCTGCAAAAAGAAAACCACTGTTACACTACAAGAACCTAAAAGCATTCTTGACCACATTTATCCTTGGTGGATTGTCAGTGGATCAAATCAGAAATGACTGCAAAAATATTTGGAAAGTCCAAACCAGAAATAATTGGAAATATACAGTACTCCATCCATCCATCCATCCAATTAATTCATCAATCAAATACATTCAACTCATTCTATGAATGAATAGTCTTGGGGTTGCTTTTGTTCTCCTCACCTCTCCTCATGCCATGCTGTATTTTTCTCACTTAACTGTCTTCCTGTCCTGTCTACCCCATTGTATATGTTTGTATGGACAGGTTGATGGACAATTTCACTGGTACTTGTGACTATGTCACAATAAAGGGTTGCTACTCATCCATCCATTCATCCATTCCATCCAATCCAATTCAATTCAATCCAATTCAATCCATCCACCCATCCATCCATCCATCCATCCATCCATCCATCTATGATAATTCTCTTTGCAGTCTATGAAATAAACCAACTTCCATCTATTACATGGATAGTTCAGCTTGTATACTCTAAAAAAAGGTTCTTCAGCGGTTCTTCAGGGGTTCTTCAGTGGTTCTCTGGGGTGGTTAAGGGGCTCTATTGCACCTCTTATGGTTCTACATAGCACCATTTGATAAAGATAAAGTGGTTCCCCTATGATTACAAGCCAATGGACCACTTTTAGTGCTATATAGCACCATTTTTGTTTAGTGTATACACTCCCAAAGAACAGAGACCTGGAGAAAAGCCATTTGGGTTGTTGAGGGAGCAGTCTTTGGAGACGGTTTGGACTTCCAGTGTGGAAGAATGGGGCAGTTAATGCTGGAACATATTCTCACTGGAAATGATTTAAGTAGAAACACATTGTGTGTAGTACCAATGAACTTGTAAAACCATTAAGGCAAGATAATTAACTTCTCACCTTGCTTACAAGTGAACATGGGATCATTTTTAAGGTGACACGTCCTCATTATCACCTTCCAACCCACGGGATGTTTAAATACCATTCAGTCTGAAGGAACAGTTGTACAAAACGGGAACGCTCCACGAGTACTAGGGTTTTATGTGTGATATGGTGTGAGTTTCCATTCAGTTCTGATATCAAGCCAAATTTCGTCTTAAAAGGACAAATAACAACAAGCTTGACTAGCCACTTGACAACCTGAAATGTATAATAACTGAGCCAAGCATTGGCGTCATTACTCCACTCCACACTCTGCCATAAATTTTATGGGTATTCCAGCCATTTTTCTGTTCTTGGAACTGTGACCCAATGAATGAAGAATACCCACAGCAGGCCTTCAGGGGTTCTTGTTGTAGTCTGGACGTTCTGCTGACTATTGGGTTCTGCTGACTGTCTCTTTTGGCACAAGACCCATTGTTTCCATTACCCTTACATGTGACAAGACAATAACGTTCAGCGGGGTGAGTAAAAGGGCCAAAACCACCACCTCCAACAGTTCCGCGCCAAAGACTATAAACATTTTGCCCCACAAATTCGTAGCCTGCGGGGCCTGGGATCCCATGCCATGCCGAGGGGTGTGTGTGTGTGTGTGTGTGTCTGGTGTTGCTACACACTCACTTTTGTATCTGAAGGAAAAATAGGCTGTGTGTTGCTGTGTCAATGCTCCTGGCAAAAGGCAGACTTCTGAAATAACCAGAAACCCCCCCAAATGTCATGCAGTGAATATGTCTATTGTCCAGAGGAGCAGGTTAGGGCAAGATCTCCGAAGTACAGTACATTCTGTTGAGGACATTTGCTCAATCTGCACATTAATAGAATAGTCCGGGTTCAATGCGAGCTAAACTCAATTGGCAGCACTTGTGGCATAACGTGAATACCACAAAAATCAGAGTTACAGTGAGATAATTACAATTAAAAGTAAATGGGACCAATCTGTAAACAGTGAAGCACCACTCTTACGCCAATTTAGGGGTTTAATCATCCATGGGAATTTAAGGAGACAAAATTGTCCAAGACAAAGTTGATACTTCAACGAAACACAACTGAAAAGTCTATTTAGTCTCCTGAGCTATGATGACAGAGTCACAACAATTATAAACATCTTCGTTTTAACCCCTTAACTTAAGTGTCACAATAATTGGAAAGGTCTAAGACTCTTAAATTAGGTATTTTAGCACTGTTTTTTTTTGTTACAAATTATGTAGGAACAGTAATAGATTAATTTATGACAAGAGTGCACCTCAAAATAAACTTTTAATAATTGAAATTTTGGTTTTCATGCTAAAAGTACATTTAAAACATGTATTTATCAATAATATATAATCATATTATCCTCTAAAATATAATATTATATTTTTTATCGCCTTTTTTATTACGTCACATATTTTAGTACGGTAGTTATCATAAATTAGGTATCATTTGAAAGCTTACAAACTCAGAATTCATCCTGTGAGAACCGCTTTGAAATTGGACATTGCTTTACCATAGAAAAGGTACTCCTCTTCATAATTTATGATCAAAACCTTTTCTAATCTTGACAAAACACATATTGTAAGAAATGTATGAGTCTCAAGGTTCCATATTTTGCGACAGAAGTGATATTTGGGCAGAAATGTATTCATTTGAATGCATACAATTAAATTCAATGGAATGTATGTCACTTGGTGGCTAATTTTGGTACTATGCCTAAACAAAATCTCATAGGAACTTCAATTTTTGGAATGTCAACTTCAAATTTAGAACTTGGTTAGATATATGGCTTTGATTTTACAGTTATTTTATAGTATAAAAAAAAATATTTAGTACAGTATAGTTGATTTTTTTTGTAAATTTAAACTTCCATAACTTTTTCATACTTTCATTTTTTAAATTGCTTTCACTCCAGCAATAATCTGCTAAGTGTTTTATAATAATAATCTACTGAGTGCTGAGTGTTTTCTTTAAAACAAGACCAAATTTAGGTCTATATTCCATTCCAAGCATTCTTGAATTACAACCATTAAAGTTTGAATAGTGCATTTTAATATCCCATTCTTAAAAAGCGGGGGGTAACAGTTTAAAATCAAATACAATTGTATCACTTTCCCACACTCGCAGTTGGCGTCAGGTCAAATGACGATGAAATGTTTCCATGATTGGCCTCTCTTATCAATGGAACAGTTGTCCTTGTGAATACATGTCTAAAAGGTTTTCTACGAAATTGTACCATGGTGTGCACAAACTCATGTGATCTAACCTGAGGTGCCTTGCAGACCCATGTCTTAGCCTTTGGGGTGCTTTTAGACTAGTTACCCTTGTGAAAAAGAAGTGTGCTTAATTGCATCATGGTTTACTTAAAATCTTAAAAGTAGCCTATATATATATTTACTTACTGTACTAACTGTACTTATAGATAAATACAGTTTCTATTTACACTAGTCAAGTCATCTTCATTTACATAGCTCTTCTAACAATATAGATTCAAAGAAGCTTTACAGTGATGATAGGAAATTAAAGTAACAGAGATTGTTTTGGCTTTACAGCAGCTCTAGAATAAAGTTATTGTCCAGCTGAACTACGTTTTTGATTGATTCACTTCAGTTGCAAAGGTCATTAGTTATTAACTTAGCGGCCGCTAACACGACACCATTTTAACTGAAAACAGAAAACTTTGAATGAGTTATGGCCGTTCATTTGCACGACAAAAGTTTGGTGGCTCGAGAACGCAAACTTTGAAATAGGTTCCAAGTTTGAGAAAAAAAAAAACTTTATCATCTCTGTTTAAACTTCAAAAACGTTTATCTGTGAAAACTGACGGCGTGCACATGCATATTAAGTGTTTAGTCAATATAGCCACGCGCCTTTGAATATCTACTATGTGCATATGTGCGCATGCGCAACCCGGTCTCATCCCAAGACGTCATATAACTGACGTTTTGGGACGTCTTTTGACCATACGTCAATATTCGCCTTTTTAGGGCCCCCTTAAACGTCGGTAGATGAGGTTATGGGATCCTAACTCTACCCCAGACCTAAACCTAACCCTAAACCTAACCCGTCACCTAACTGACGTTAAAGGTAAAGCGTCAGTTGTATGACGGCCCGGGATCGCCATCTACCGACGTTTAAGGGGGCCCTAAAAAGGCGGATATTGACGTATGGTCAAAAGACGTCCCAAGACGTCAGTTATATGACTTTTTGGGATGAGACTGTGTTAGCATGCGCGTAGTCTTTCTTTACAAATTGTCATTGCTCCATGAAATTGATGAATCATTTTGATAACGTTCCCAGGGGAGAGTCTAGTTGACACTTCAGGGCTGCGTTGTTGTCGTATCTAGGCGCAGGTCCTTCATTAGGTCTGGATATGGCCTGAATCCGGTGGTCCTCTTTTTTTCAAGTAAACCAAAAAAAAAGAAAGATGTGTTTTTAGTCTAGATTTAAACTGACCGAGTGTGTCTGCTTCCAGGACAAAGTTAGGAAAGTGCTAAACAGGAACGGATCTACCGCCAGCAGTCGATTTTGATATCCTAGGTATTTTCAACTGGCCATAAATTATTCACAATAGACGTGAAGGACTATAATTTGTTCAGAGCTTGTTTAAGGACTGGGGATCTAAACCAGTTAGTGCTTTGTAAGTAATCAGCAATATTTTTTCAATTAGCCAATGTTTAATTTGGGACCAGCGGTAGTTTGTTTATTAAGCGTGCAGGGCAACCACCCATTAGAGCATTGCAATAATCTAGTCTTGAGGTCATGAACGCATGAACTAACTGTTCCGCATTTGTCATTGAGAGGATATGTAGTAATTTATATTTCTAAGATAAATGAATGTGGTTTTACAGACGCTAGAAACATGGTTTTCAAATGAAAGTTTGGTATTAAGGAGCACACCCAGGTTCCAAACCGACGACGAAGACTTGACAGAGCAGCCATCAAGTGTTAGACAGTATTTTAGGTATGAAGTGCAGAGGTTTTTGGTCCAATAATAAGTATCTTGTTTTCTTTCTTTCTTTTTTTTTTTTAAGAATTAAGTAGT